CTTGTATTCCCCTTGAGTCTTAATCTAGGAAGGGGGTTTGCTCTTAGGGGACTCGACCACTTGCCTTGATGGCTCCCGGGTGAACAACTTGCTTGTTCTTGTAGTAGTCAATCAGACTGCTGTTACTGTTTTTGTTTTTTATTTTTCCTGCCGGTCTTTCTTTCTTTCTTTAAGTTTTTATTGTGAATTATGTGATAGTTTACATGGGAGGACATCAGCTTCACATTGATCCCATCGTATATCGTTTCTTTGCCACGGTTACAATCCTTTCATCGTCCATCAACCAAAGGGATACCCTGCAAACCTGCCTGCCGGTTGTCCGCATACCGCCCCTCTCCCTCTCCAGGTCCAAAGTCTCCAGCCGCTCCATCTCCCCACTTCTTTGTCTCTGCCTCCAATCCTGGCATCACTGCTTCTCTGGGTAGGGTTCCGTTCTCCACTTTTCTCCTTTGATGGTCCCAGGGACCTCTACTCCTAGACCACAAGGTTAATCACTCCCCTCCCTTTGCACCCAAACGTCCACCTTTACATTTCCAGCCCTTACAATCAGTGCTGATAACAATTATTTGCTATTGTATCACAGGAGACCTATCCACATGTTCTTTCATCAGCCCTGACTAGGCAGAATGGATACTACTCAGTGGAGACTCTACCTTGCTCCATTCCCTCTAGATCTAGGTTCCCTCTTGAAAGCTTGTAAGCCAGTCACTTCTTGCCTCTGTATTCCCCCCGCCCCATTCTGGGTAGCCAATGTCCAAGTTGCCCATCCCTGTCCTCTCCGTGTGTGAAGGAGGTTGGAATGATCCTCGCTGTGAAGATTTGTTCCCTCTTTTGAGCTACTGCTTCCATAGGTGTAGATCAGGTTCATCATATTGTATCAGATTATTCTTTTTTCCCTCTTCTCTCTTCTTCTGTATGAGCTCTGATCCTCCAGCCATTGAAGCCAGGACAAGTGAGTATTATCTGCAAGTGTGGGTGTACTTATGCATGTGCCCTCTCTTCTTATCAGCTGGACGCTTCACTCTCCACTCTAGTCCTCTGTGGCTATGTTGCTGACTCTGGGTCCAAGAGTCCCCTGGACTTGGCACACTGCTAGCCAACCAGGTCTAGTACTAGGACTTTAAATCAAAGGTTCCCAGGATAACAGGACCAGCAGCCTATGAGGCAGCCTTGCAAGAGAACACTGGCCAATAGGAGCTCTTTGTACTGCGTGATGTTTCACCAATCCAATTAGACCCTCTCAGGCTTAGTGCTTAACTGTGATAACTGCTGTGAGTGGTTGCTACCCATTGAAACCTGTTCCCATCTACTTGGCTGAAAAGATCCTATAGGAGCTCTGGCATGGCTATGTAGAATAAGCACTGCAAGGTCAGAGGTTCAAACTCACCAGCAGCACTTTGGAAATCCTATACAGGATCACTATGAGTCGGAACCAAATCGATGACACTTAACAACAGGACAAAGTAGAACTGGCCCATAAGATTTCCAAGGCTGAAATCTTTATGGAAGCATACTGATATCTATCTATAACTGAGTGAGTAGGTAGTGGGTTTGAACTGCTGACCTTTCCGTTAGCAGTTGAACGTTTAACCATTGTGCCACCAGGCCTCCTCAGGTGTAAAGGCAGGTATGTGAGGAAAAGTGGGGAGAAAGTGAACCTGATGAATTCCAAGACATTGTTGTTGTTGTCAGGTGCCATCAAGTTGGAACTGACTCATAGTGACCCCGTGCACAGCAGAACGAAACAATGTCCGATCCTGGGCCAACCTCACTACTGCCGCCACACTCGATGCCATCAATGATGCCATCTGGCCAATCCATCTCATTGGGGGCCTTCCTCTTTTTCTCTGACCCTCCATCTTACCCAGCATGACATCCTTCTCCAGTGACTGTTCCCTCCTGACAGTATGTCCAAAGTATGAGAGACGAAGCTTAGCCATCCTGTCCTCCAAGGAGCACATCTGGCTGCATTTCTTCTAAAACAGATCTATTGGTTCTTTTGGCAGTCCATGGCACTTTTAGTATTCTCCTCCAACACCACAGTTCCAAGGCATCAATTCTTCTACGATCTTCCTTATTCACCATCCAGCTTTCGCATCCATATGAAGTTATTGAAAATACCATGGCTTGGGTCAGGCATACCTTAGTCCTCAATGCGGAAATCATCGGACAATCCAAGACATTAACTCACAACAATTCCATGGTCTGGTTTAGAGTCAATCTCCATATAAACTAGACCAGTAATTTAGACTGAATGAATATGTGGACAATACAGTTTTGCCTCCTGCCACCTACCATTTCCTAGGTGAGCTATCTATGAATAGCAGGGATGATGGACATGTGATGGGATTGGAGGGGCTAGATACTGTGATTATTCAATGGTTAACTTCATCCCAGCACTATGCTAAGTACTTTATGTGCATTCATTCTTTTAAGCTTAATGATTCTGTAAGGAGCCCTGGTGGCACCATGGTTAAGCACTTGGCAGCTAACCAAAAGGTTGGCAATTAGAGCTTACCAAGAACTCCAAGAGAGAAAAGATCTGGAGATCAGCTCCCATAAAGAGAACCGTCTATAAGTGAAATTAGTCAATCACAAAATGGCAAATATTCTTATGAGACCACTTTTTGAAATAGAGGTAAATGATGGTACATGGAAGGGATTACAATCATTGTGGTGAAGCAAAGTACAGGATTTTTTCTGAGTGTAAAACTATCTGCTCTGTAAATCTTCACTCAATTCACAATAAAAAGTTAAAAAGAAGAAGAAGAAAAAAAGATTACAGCCTAGAAAACTCTCTAGGGCAGTTTTACTCTGTTCTATGGAGTGCTGGTGTATGTAGCCTTGTAGGATAAGCATTGGACCACAAGGTCCATATGAACTGCAAGGTTCAAACCCACCAGCTGCTCCTTGGAAACCCTATATAGGGTGGCTAGGAGTTGAAACTGATTTACGGCACTTAACAACAACATATGGTCACTTGGAGTTGGAATCAACTCAGAGACACACAATAACAACAATGGTCCTATAAGATGGCTGTCATCTTGATGCTACCTACACATGACAGAACAAGCTTAGAAAGGTCAAGTTACTTGCTTAAGGCCTCACAACTAGTTATGAGGGAAGCCAGGACTGGAAGCCAGGTATGTTGTTGTTGTTAGGTGCCATCGAGTCGGTACTGACTCACAGCAGCCCTATGCACAATATATTTGACCCCAAAGTCAGTGTTTTCTTAATTGACTCTGCTGCCCATGTACTAGATACTGAGTCAGCAGAGTGGGGATGAGAGGACTTTGTATGGTATTCTTTTTTTTTTTATAAGTTTTTATTGTGAATTGAATGAAAGTTTCAGGGCAGATCATCAGTTTTACATTTTACAAATCATATACTTTGATTTTTTTTTTCTTAAATGTTTTATTGTAAATTATGTGATAGTTTACATGGGAGAACATTAGTTTTACATTCATTCTATCATATATCATCTCATTGCCATGGTTACAATCCCCTCCATGCAATCCTTCCCCCATACCCCCCAGGTCTTCAGCACACAGTCTCTC